GCCCCGAGTACTTGTTGATTGAGGATCAGGAGTCAATATCTGCTCGCTCTCTACCCTATGAGAGTTAAGTACTGATCTGAGAGAAGTTAGGTAGTTTCGTCTACCCGCCCATCACTGCATGAAGTTTGAGTGGGGTTGTTAAGAGATCGTAGTTCATGGCGAATGGAGCCACTCGGCTTATCTGGAACATGCAATTCCATTCATAGAAGGATTAGATGGGGTCACTTTTCATGCAGTCGAGATCACATAGACCACGGTGATAGAGGAGATCGAGTAAAATCTGGGTATGCAGTCACCATATAGATCAAAAATGGCTATGAAAGCAATGATGAAGTACGGGTACAAACCAGGGACCGGGCTGGGAGCCCGATAAGATGGCATAACAGATCCAATTGAACCAAGAGGCTAAAAAGGTAGAGCCGACATAGGGTATCAGCCTCCAACTGGAAAGACTTATACCGGTGGCTTTGGGAAGAAAGCTTTTGTACCAGAGCGTGTTTTGGGTGCAGGTCAGAGCTCAACACCAGAGGACAACATCGTGAATGGAATAGGAAGGTTGTTCATGACCATGATCGAGGAATGCTGTGACAGAATTGATATCAAGACACCAACCATTCGGAATGCCGAACCATGAGAGGAATTTCAAAATTGGACCGCCAGCCTGTATTTGGTTCACCGGGAGTCTTGGTAGTGTGGAATTGTAAAACCTTTTGAAAAAAAATGCACGGTCAATTGAAGCTTGAACCGTGCTTGTACTCTTTAGTCAATTGCCTCCTTGAACACTTAGACATTCCTCTTTTGATGAAATAAAAATTAAAATGCTTTCTTAAAATTATTGCAAACTTATTTATCTCTTCATTTGTACTTAGTTATTCTTTTCAGTAATCAAAATGATAAAAACTCGCATACCACGATTATGACATGTAACAAAACCCTCGAGCAAAGCGATCCATATTGCGAAGAATACGACGATAGCATGATGCCAGATAATCTCCCACAAGAGATCGAACAGTGGGAAAGCTAGAAAAAGCCTAACCTGGAGGAGACTAAAGTAGTCAACCTAGGAAGCGAAGAAGATGTGAAAGAAACTCGAATCAACACCCATATGGAAGCAGAGCCGAAAGAAGAACTGGTCGAGCTCCTCCGACAATACATCGACGTATTCACATGGTCGTATCACGACATGCCTGGATTGATCACCGAAATCGTGTCGCATCAATTGCCTACTGATCCTGCCAGGCCGCCAATCAAACAAAAGCCCAGAAATTTCAAACTAGGCTTGAGTTTGAGGAAAAAAGAAGAAGTAACCAAGCAGATAGAGGCAATCACGGTAAGAGTCACCAATTATCCCACATGGTTAGCAAATATCGTACCGATACCAAAGAGGATAGATAGATCTTAATATGTGTAGATTATCGAGACCTTAACAAGGCAAGTCCGAAAGATGATTTCCTTTTACCAAACATTCATATCCTCATCAACAATTGCGCGAAGGATAAGCTGCAGTCGTTCGTGGATTGTTTCGCCATGTACCATCAGATTCTAACGATGAAGAAGATGCAGAGAAGACATCGTTCACTATGCCTTGGGGAGTTTACTACTATAGAGTCATGCCATTCGGCCTCAAGAACGCTTGTGCTACATACATGAGGGCCGTGACAACCCTCTTTAATAACATGATCCACAAAGAGATCGAGGTATATGTGGATGATGTCATTATCAAATATCGGTAGAGTGCAGAACATCGGGATGATCTGAAGAAGTTTATTGAATGCTTGCTATCACGATCCCAATCTCCCACCGTAGGAGTTCGTGATGGCACCTAGTCTCGAAGACTAGGTAAGCCTATCATGCATGAAGAAATAGCGGAAATAACAATAGAAATTCAAATTAATACATCTAGCTACCATAATGAAACTCAACAACACCACGGACAATAACTCCCAAAACCTGGTGAGACTGAGTCATAAGATCTACACGAATATACTGAAACATCCCTAATACATCACTGTCCAAATAAAGTGTATGCAATAGAAAAAATACAACAAGGACGAAGGGTGAATCAGAGGCCTGCAAATGCCAGGCAAGTATACCTTGGAATCTCCGAGATGAATAGCCAAATCACTAATGCCTAGCCTGATATTGAGGTACCTGGATCTACACAAAAAGATATGCAGACGCGTAGATTGAGTACATCACAACAGTACCCTGTAAGTATCAAGCCTAACCTCGGTAGAGTAGTGAAACGAGGAAAATGAGGTAATAAAGGAATAAAACAAGATAGGCTACAACTAAATTTAAAGGAATAAATGAAGTAAGGAAGAAACACATAATAAATACATCAAGAAAATAATGCATACAAACACAAGGGAGCAAAATGAGAGATAATAACACGAATCACAATCGAGGTACCACCTCGTAATCCCATTTCACAATCACAATCACTATTTTTTCTTATATCGCCGCGTGAGCCTTACAATCATATAGTTTGAAAACATTTTTCCTGAAATAGCTACATGCACTTTAGCCCATCTTATAAAGCCTCGTCTTCAAGTAATTCCCTTACTAGCAACATGCACATAAATACCACCTTATGCCACCACATGCACATTAACCCCTATCGTTATACCGCCGCATGCCAACATAATCACTACTCGCACCACAAGTTCCATATGCAACAAATTGCCAAAAGAATCAACAATACCAAGGTTTCCACAACAAATAGCCCATGGCTCAACCACAATATGTACAAGAGTCTCAGCAATAACGAAATGAAAATGAATAGATCAACAAGAATGATATTTCAACAATTAACAACTTTGCCTTAATGTGATCACGACTTTTACAACTTCAACACCAATAACTCAACGAGAAGCTATTCCATGAAAACAACAACTTCGAGTAAACAATTCAATAATTAAAGAAGTAATAGACAATAAGGAAGACAATAACTTCTACTAGAGCATATAAGAGCAACTAACAAATAAAATGTGGAAAAAGTGTTAAAAATGTCAAACAAGGCATGTGAGGGTAGATTAATACATTTAAGGGTAGACCAAAAATGAAAGATATAACATGCTATGCTAATTCAATTAAAGGCATGAAAAGAGTCCAGATAGCCTAAATCGGTCAAATACCACATATAGCCCGTGTACCCACTCATCACCTTGCGTACACGCCTTTTACATATCACAAATAGCACAATCAACCCAAATCCTAAGGGGTGGTCTGCCCACAAAAAGTTAGGCAAGATACTTATCTCAAACAAACTAACTTAATCCACTAGTAAACCTTTTCCGCGAATATATAACTACGAACGGCTCAAACATAGACAATATAACTTTATACCAAAAATACAACGTATAAGAAACTATTTCGGATAATAGAGTTGCAATCTTTAAGGAAAATCAAAAGGTCAACTCAAAAAGTAAACCCCTGGTCCACATCTCTGAACCAGACCAAACTTACAAAATCCGAACTCCCATTCAATAACCAATCCAACCATACTAAAATTATTAAATTCCGACCTCAAATCGACCTTCAAATCCTCAAATTACAGCTTAGGAAGCTTTCATAAAATTTCCTATTTTTTCCAACTCAAAACATTAATCAAATGTTAAAATTTCATGTAAAATAATCAAATCCGAGTAAAAAAATACTTACCCCAATCAACTCCTTGAATATCCTTTCAAAGTTCGCACAAAAATAAGCTCTCTAACTCAAAATATGAAAAATAACTCTAACCCTCGATTTGGAAATTTAGTATCTGTTGCCTAGTGATTACTCTACGTCAAGGCGGAAAATCCCTCACGATCGTGGACAACAAACTCCGTGAGCTCAATAACGCGATCGTGTGACCACTGTCACGAACACAATGGCAGAACGTGATGATCAACGCGTGTCTTAGCACAATCTCCCATTCCTTCTATGCAATGGTAATATATTGCCCGCGTTCGCAGTGCACAACATTACAACCTTCCGCGAACGTGTCCTCATTTATGGAATCGCGAAGAGCAACTACACATCTGCCAACAAGGACCCTACGCGATCGCGGCTAACATTCGTGAATCTAGTGAAGGAAAACCGGAAGCATAGAAAACCAGCAATATCAATATATGAACAAATGGTCCGAACTCAATCCGAAACACACACGGGGACCCCAGACCCATGTCCAAATATTCCAACAAGTCCTAAAATAAGATACAACCACGCTCGAAGCCTTAAATCACATCAAACAACACCGAAACCATGAATCACACATCGATTCAAGCTTAATGAACTAATGAACTCCAAACTTCTAAAACTAATGCCGAAACATACCAAACCAACTCTGAATGACCTCATATTTTGCACAAAAGTCATAAATGAAAAAATGAACATATTCCAACTTCCGGAACCAAAAGATGAACCCGATATCAATAAAGACAACTCTCGGTCAGACTTCTCAATCTTCCAAACCTTCAACTTTTCAACTTTCGCTAATTCAAGCCAAAACGACAAACGGACTCAAAATAAATATTTGGACATATTTCTAAGCCCAAAATCACCATACGAAGCTATCAGAACCATCAAAACTCCATTCCGGAGTCGTCTACACAAAAGTCAAGCTCCGATAAGCTCTTTCAACTTAAGTTTCCAAATGTGGGTCTAAGTGTCGCAGTTCACTCCGAACCTCACCCGAAACCAAACCAGCTACCCCGGCAAGTCACATAACCACAAATATAACATACAGGAAATAAATAGGGAGAGGGATAAAATATCCATAGCGACTGGCCGGATCATTACATCCTTCCCCTCTTAAAACAGACGTCCATCCTCGAACGAGTATGGAAACGTACCTAAAGCGGTAAAAAGATAAGGAGAACAGCTACGCATATCATGCTTGGTCTCCCAAGTCACCTCCTCGACTGGTTCACCCCTCCACTGAAGCAACTTTCTTTGGCCTCGACTTTCGGACCCGCCTGTCTAAGATGGCCATCGGCTCCTCAATATAAGTCAAATCATTGTCCTTGGATTGAGCTTAAATCTAAAACATGGGATGGATCACCTTGATACTTCCGGAGCATGGAAACATGGAACATCGGGTGGACTACAGATAAGCTAGGTAGCAATGCAAGCTTGTGGGATACCTCCCCTACTCTCTCAAGGATCTCAAAAGAACCGATATACCAAGGGATCAACTTTCCCCTTTTCCCGAACCTCATCACACCCTTCATGAGTAAAACGTGGAGCAAAACCCTCTCTCCAACAATAAATTCTACATCACGAACATTCTGATTCGCATAAATATTCTGCCTAGATTGTGCTATACGAAGCCGATCCTGGATTAACTTGACCTTCTCCAAGGCATCTCGAACCAAATTTCTGCCCAATAATCTAGCCTTGCCCGTCTCAAACCAACAAACTAGATAACGGTATCGCCTCCCATATATGGCCTCATAATGAGCTATCTAAATAATTGACTTTTGGTTGTTGATGTAGGCAAACTCCGCAAGCGACAAGAATATATCCCAAGAACCCTCAAAATCCATAACACAGGAACGAAGCATATCCTCTAAGATCTGAATGGTGCGCTCAGGTTGTCCATCCATCTAGGGGTGGAATGTTGTACTCAACTCAACCTGTGTGCCTAACTCACGTTGTACGACTCTCTAGGATGTAAACTGCGTACCCCGATCAGAGATGATAAATACTGGCACGTCATTAAGTCTGACAATCTCGCAGATATAGAACTGAGCCAGCTGTTCCGAAGAATAGGTAGTCACCACCTGAATGAGATGAACCGACTTGTTAAACTATCCACAATAATTCATACAACGCCAAATTTCTTCTGAGTCCGTGGGAGCCCATTATTGAAGTCCACGGTAACACGCTCCCATTTCCACTCGGCAATCTCAAGTCTCTGAAGCAACCCACCTGGCCTATGATGCTCATACTTCACTTGCTGACAATTTAGGCACCAAACTACATACTCCACTATGTCTCTCTTCATTCTCCTCAACCAATAGTGCTGCCTCAAATCTTGATACATCTTAACGACACCCGGATGAATGGAGTACCGCGAACTTTGGGCCTTCTAAAAGATCAACTCACGTAACCCATCCACATTGGGTACACATAGCCGGCCCTACATCTGCAGAACACCCTCACTCCAATAGAAACTTCCTCAGCATCACTGTGTTGTACAGTGACCTTAAGGAAAATCAAATAGGGGTTCTCATACTGACGCTCTCTAATGCGCTCATATAAAGAAGACCAAGAAACCACACCAGCAAGAACTCGACTAGACTCCAAAACAGCCAATCTAACAAACTGATTAGCCAAGGCCTGAACATCAATAGCTACTGGTATCTCAGCTGCCGGTACATATGCCAAACTACCCATACTCTCTGCTTTTCAACTCAAGTTATCAGCCACCACATTGGCCTTCCCGGGATGATATAGAATAGTGATATCATAGTTTTTAAGAACCTCTAACCACCTCCCGCTGCCAAAAATTAAGGTCTTTCTACTTTAACAGTTGCTAGAGACTCTGCTGAATGGTATAGACCTCATTTAGAACATCGTACAAATAGTGCCGACAAATCTTCAAGGCATGAACAATAACTTCCAATTCCAAGTCTTGGACAGGATAATTTTTCTCATGAACCTTCAATTGCCAAGACCCATAGGCAAACACCCTACCATCTTGCATTAACACTACGCCAAGGCCAACACGTGACACGTCACAATACATAGTGTAAGATGCTGAACCCGTAGGCAACACCGACCCTCAGGCTGTAGTCAATGCAGTCTTGAGCTTTTGAAAGCTCTCCTTACACTCCTCGGACCATCTAAACAGAGAACCCTTCTGGGTCAATCTGGTTATTGGTGCAGTAATGGATGAGAAACCCTCTACGAAATAGTAATTGTACCCCAGCCAAACCAATGAAACTCAGAATCTCAGTAGTTGAAGACGGTCTGGGAAAACTTGACACTGCCTCAATCTTCTTCAGATCTACCTTGATCCCCTCACTCGAGACCACATGGCCCAAAAACACCGTTGAATCAAGCTAAAATTCACACTTTGAGAATTTTGCATACAACTTCTTTTCTCTCAAGGTCTCGAGCACAATCCTTAAATGCTGCTCATGATCTTCCCGGCCGCGGGAATATACCAAGATGTCGTGAATAAACACAATGATGAATGAATCAAGATATGGCTGGAATACATTATTCATCAGGTACATAAATGATGTTGGGGCATTTGTCAGCCCAAATGACATTACACGGATCTCGCAGTTATAATACCGAGTCCTGAAAGCAGTCTTCGAGATATCCTAATCCCAAATCTTCAGCTGATGATACCCTGACCGCAAAGCAATCTTTGAGAACACTCTGGCACCCTGTAGTTGATCATTTAAAACATCAATGCGCGGCAATAGGAACCTGTTCTTCACTGTAACCTTGTTCAACTGCCATTAATCAATACATATGCGCATAGAACCATCCTTTTTCTTCACAAACATAACATGAGCACCCCAAGGTGACATACTAAGCTGAATGAAACCCTTATCGAGCAACTCTTCCAACTGCTCATTTAACTCTTTCAACTATGCTGGGGCCATATATCGTGGAATAGAAATGGGTTGAGTTACCAGCAACAAGTTAATACCAGAATCGATTTGCTAGAAATACATCTAGGAAGTCTCTCACTACCGGAACTGACTCAACGGTAAAGTGTCAACACTGAAATCTCTCACAAAGGCTAGATATGCATCACACCCCTTCTCAATCATCCGGTGTGCCTTAACAAAGGATACAACCCCGCTAGGAATATAATCCAATGTACCCTACCACTTTAACCACGGCAAACCTGGCATAGCCAGTGTCACAGTGTTGGTGTGAAAATCCATAATAACATGATAGGGCGACAACCAATCCATGCCTAAGATAACATCAAAATCTACCACGCTGAGCAACAATATATTAACTTTGGTCTCAAAAACACCAATAACAACAAAACACAACCGATACACACGGTCCACAATAATAGAATCTCCCACAAGTTGTAACGACCCGACCGGTCGTTTTATGTGTTACCGCTCTGTTTCCCCAATTCTTGCTTCTTATTGTCTTGTTTAGATGTATTATGTGCTATCGGGTTGGTTGGCTTAGGTTCGGAGAGGTTTTGGTAAGGTTTGAGACACTTAGTCTATTTTGAGTAAGCTTAAGTTGGAAAAGTCAATCGGATGTTGACATATGTGAAAAAAGGCTCGGATGTGAAGTCCGATGATTCGGATAGCTTTGGGAGGTGATTTGGGGATTAGGAGTGTGATCAGAATGTGTTTTGGAGGTCTGGAGTAGCTTTAGGCTTGAATTGGCGAAAATAGATTTTGGCGTTTTCCGGTTGATAGGTGAGATTTTGATGTAGGGGTCGGAATGAAATTCGGGAGTTGCAGTAGGTCTGTTGTGTCATTTGGGATGTGTGTGCAAAATTTCAGGTTATTCGGACGTGGTTTGATAGACTTTTTTATCAAAAGCGTAATTCAGAAGATTTTTGGAACCTTAGGCTTGAATCCGATGTGATATGGTTGATTTGATATTGTTTGAGGTGTTTTGAAGATCGTTATAAGTTTGGGTAGTGTTATATGACTTGTTCGTGCTTTTGGTTGAGGTCCCGGCGGCCTCAGGGTGATTTCGGATGGTTGATGGGAGATTTTGGAGTTGAGTTTGGCAGCTGAAGTTATTGTTGCTGTCATAACCGCATCTGCGGTTGGGAGGCCGCATGTGCGATGCCCGCAGAAGCGGAAGGCAAGCCGCAGATGCGGCCAAGAGTGATGTCAGCTGGAACCGCAGAAGCAGCTACTGGAGCGCACCTGCGATGGCACAGGTTCGGGTGTTTTGTCGCATATGCGGAATTGGGCCTTTAAGTGAAAACCACAGGTGCGGTGGGTTAGACGTATAAGTGGGACTGTAGAAACGGAAAAAGGACCGCAGGTGCGGAATCTCTGGGTCACAAAGTATATATTTCATCCTTCGCGATTTTCAGCCTTTCTTCACCATTTTTAAATCGATTTTGGAGCTTTTTGGGCGATTTTCCAGAGGGAATTCAAGGGAACTTCGTTGAGGTAAGATTTTTTATCATAACTCTTTACTATGGTGTTATGTCATTGATTAGGCTTGAAATTTATGGAAATTTTGGGTAAATATTGAAGAAACTAGGGCTTGAAATTGGAGACCTAGAATTTGGGATTTGAGGGGTCATTTGTGGTTGGATTTTGGTAAATTTGATATGCATGAACTCGTGGGAAGATAAGGATTTTCATTGATGTTAATTTTGTCGGATTCCGAGGCATGGGCCCGTGGGTCGGGTTTGGTTAATTTTGGGATTTGTGTTGTAATTTGATTAATTTCGTATAGGTTTCACCCCTTTAGCATATATTGATGGTTATGAACTGATTTTGGATAGATTCGACACGTGTTGAGGCAGATTCGAGAGGCAAAGGCATCGCGGGCTAGAGCTTGGACCGGATAGAGATAAGTAATGATTGTAAATGCTATCCTGAGGTTATGAAACCCCGGATGTCACATCGTTGTGCTATGTTGAGGTGACGCACACGCTAGATGACAAACGTAGGGTCGTCCACCGTTGGGGATTGTGACTTAGTCCGTCCCGTATGACTGTCTAACTGTGTATTTGATTGAAAACTGTTTGCTATCATCATGTTTTGGGCTGAATGCCACATTTGGGCCTTGTGCCAACTGTTTAGACCCTTAGGGGATTTTACTACTATTCCTCACTGTTTTGGCTTCGTATTTGTACTCAGTCATGCTATATTCTACTGTTTTCACAACCCAGCCATCTTTACTCGTTTTTGATATTTTAAATGATATTTTGGGTCGAGCATCATGTTTTACTGTTGCCCTTGTGGCTTGTGAGGTTCTGACTGAGTAAGGCCGAGGGCCTGTGTTGTGAGGATACTATGGGATCGGGCTGCGCGCCGCGGCAGTATTATACTGATTCATGATTATGAGGCCGAGGGCCTGAGTTGTTACGCCACAAGGTGGCTTGATATGAGGCTGAGAGCCTGTTTGATTATGCCACGAGATGGCTTGTTATTGCGCTTGGGCCGTAAGGGGCCCCTCCTGGAGTCTATACATCCCCCAGTGAGCGCGAGTACCCAGTTTGTGATCTGATATAGCCCGAGGGGCTGATTTTGTACCAGTTTATTGCCTGAGGGGCTATTACGAGTGATTGTGAGATAGCCCGAGGGGCTGGTTCTGTTGGTATTTTACCCGAGGGGCTGATTTGTGTTTCTATCTTTTATCTCTATTTTCATTCACTCATTTGAACTTCTACAACATGTTTTAAAGATCTTTTTCTGAACAAAGAAGTTTTTATGAGCTTTTACTGTTTTATTGTATTGTCCTGGTTTTACACTGCCTCGTTGTACCATTTTGCTGTGTATTTACGTGTTTTCTTATCGCTCAGCTGCCTTTACTTTTATTACTTACTGAGTTGGCGTACTCACATTACTCCCTACACCCAACAAGCTTGTTCGGAGTTGACTAGGTAGCTGCTCGACGTTCGCAGCCCAGTGCTTCTCCTTCCTACCTTTAGTTCGCTTGTTCTAGCTTTATATTAGACTATGTTGTCTTTTCATACTCTTAGACAAATTTTAGATGCTCATGACTGGTGACACCCCGATATCGGGCTGTGTTTGTTTCCGCATTTGTTCTATTTCACTCTATTTTGGAGTTTATCACTTATAAATGACTTAATTATGCATTATAATAACTTTTAATTGGTTTAGGGGTTTGTGTCGGCTGGCCTTGTTTCACGAGAGGCGCCATCACGACCGGGTCCGGTTTGGGTTTGTGACAAGTTGGTATCAGAGCCTAGGTTACATAGGTCTCACGAGTCATGGGCAGGTTTAGTAGAGTCTCGCAGATCGGTACGGAGACGTCTGTATTTATCCTCTGGAGGCTGCAAAACCTTTAGGAAAACTTCATATTCTTGAAATTCTTGTCGTGCGATCTGTTGATCCAAGTACTAAACTTCTGTTATTCTATTCTCTCACAGATGGTGAGGACACGAGCGATCGGTCAGGATGGACGACCACCAATACCACTAGTTGTGGCCAGTAGAGGCCGAGGACGCGATCGAGGCCGTGGTAGGGGCAGAGGTTTGGACCGCACAGCAGCTAGGACAGCACCTGCAGATCCACCAGCCGCCCCAGTCCAGGATCAGGTCCCAGTTGTGGACACTCCAGCAGCACCAGCTCAGGCACCAGCTCAGGCACCAGCTGTGCCCATTGTGATTCGAGGTCTTCAGGAGACCATGGCCCAGATCTTGACCGTGTGCACGAGTCTTGCTCAGGCGGTCGCAGTTTCTACTGCCG